GGGTGGGTTTACTGGTACTGGAGATCTCAGTCTGGGAAATCATGGGGCCTCTTAATTACAGGGTGCAAATAGAGGCCTTACAGAGAATTCAGGCTTGTGTTAAAAGACTTGGAGAATATTCCAGAAGTGTGGTTTTGTTCCGGCTTGGATGTTTTAAAACTGTGAAGACAATTCTAGGATTATTGTTTTTATGCAAGAGGTGGGAGAATAAAGCGAAGTAAAGCAGTAGGGAAGAAGCAGCGGTCACTCAAATTATGTGGGAAAGGAGGATATTTAATCATTTTTGTGGTTGGCATTGTTCTTGCTTTGTTTTTGCTCAGACACGATTACAAAGTGGTCCTGTTTACTGTCTTTTGCTGTCGTTGTTAGAATGATCCTGTCAGAAGTTTCAGTTCAATGAAATTGTTTATGTTTAACAGGAGAACACCGCAGCCTAGCTGTTGATGTCACGCCAGCTCTCAGATGAAGATTGTCAATGGCCGCTTTTTTTTTAATATGAAAAAAATAAAGAAAATTAAATGGTTATCTTGCCTCAGAGGTAAATATTAATCAAGACAGGATTTTTTTTAAAAAGGCCTCAGTCGACTGAGGGAGGAGTGTAGAGGTGGGAAGAGGGAGAAAAAGAAGCGGCAATTGCAATACCATAAACAACAAAATAAAATAAAAATTGAAAAAAGAGAAAGGCCTCATGGTACATACATACATGTGCAGATATCTAAATGATGTGAAGAAGTAAACCATGAAAAGTCCTGGAGAAGATGGTAACAATGAAAATAATTGTTGCTATGTTGTATCAGTGAGGCTGAAAAATGCAGTATCTTAAATATTAAAAATGCATTTCTCTATCAAGCAACAGTCTGGTTGGTCCAGGCAGCTTAGTAGCACAAAGTACCTAACAGCCTTAGCTGTGTTGATCAGTGCTAACCTCAAAAGAACAGTATCCATTTGTGTGGTTAAAATAAATTCACATTTAAGACAAAAAATTAGAAAAAAAGTCAAAATTCAGGAAAGATGGTTTCTCTTTAGGTTATAAAAGAACCATGTGTTATACACTTTCCTTTTTCCACTCAATATCTGATTAGCTTCAATTGTCCTTCTGGGTGACCAGGGAAGCTGGAAAGGCAGCCTCTAACGGGGTGTCCTCTGTGCTCAGGAGAAAGGGATTTTCTGCCTGAGAGCCTTCCAGAAAAGAGGTTTCAGCAGCTGTGATGGCTAAAACAAGCAGAAACAAGCTGGATGCATTAGAGGAATAACAAGAGGTCAGTGTGACTGGAGGAGAGTGGGTGAAATTAAATAGAGAAGTAAGCAAACACCAGATTTCTTGAGACTGCCTAAGACAATTTGGGTTTTATTCTAAGGACAATGGAAAGACATTGTGGGATTTTGAGGCAAGGAATACGGCCTCATATAATTTTAAAAATGTATTCTGCTATGTGAATATAGATGGATAAAAATGATAACAGAGGGAGCAGCTAGGAAGAAATTGCCATCGTCCCCAGAAGAGAACTGTGGCTTAGGGCGGAATTAGTTGGGCTCTCGCTAGGTAGTTGGTTAAAGCATCGTCCCGATACCCAGGTTTGCAAACCAATTCCTGTCAGGGCATGTACAAGAATCAACCAATGAATGCATAAATAATTGAAACAACAAATTAATTGATGTTTCTCTCTCCCTCTCCCCTTCTCTCTTTTCCAAAAATCAATAAAAAAAAAAAAGTAGGTGGACTTGAGATGTATTTTGAGTGCAAAACTAATAGAAGTTTTTAATGGAAAAAATGGCAGATGTGCATTAAAGGGAGGAGTTAAGAATGACTACTCCATTTTCAGCCTGAGCAGAGTGGGGGAACATCTACTGACATGAGGAAGTGAAGGAGAGAACTTCAGAAAAGAATAGACTGTTTCTCTAATTGAAATGAACAGTTCCTCCTTTGAAATGGAAGATAGAGGGGTAAATGCAATTCAGTAAGGAAAAGATATAATTTTTTCCTTATTGCTTTTAATTTTTAGTGAAATAATTAGAAAGTCATCTGATGTGAGGAGAATGACTAGTGTTGCAATTCAAGAAAGGAGGGAAGGTATAAAATGAACTTCAGTGAGAATTAGAAGTGAATTTATTAGGCAAATGAAGTAGGAGTGCTCAGCAGCACTAAAGACCCACCGGAGACTTGCGATCACACAGATTTTAAGTGTGACTTTTCAACAGCAGTAAGTGCTTCCCTCCAGCTATGTTCAGTTTCTCAGGTAACTGAGAACATTGGGGGAAATTTCAGTTTAATAGTATTTTCACAGGCTTACATAATTCAGAACAGAAAGTTGAAGGTCACAGGGAGCGATTTCAATCTGGTCTATAGAATCTAGGTCAAGTGAAGAGCAAAGTGCAGGCTTGAGTAGAAAGTGAAGGGTAAGAATAAAAAGTGGGCACAATGGATTAAATGGGATCATAAATGTTGGACTGAGAGTGTAAGATTATATGAACTGGAAAGAAAAGATGATGTTTAGAGAGTAGAGCGCTTAACATTGATATTTTGGAGACATTTAATTTATTGTTAGTGAAAAGTTCTGTGGCATAACCATGGAAACCATTGGATGAGATGGAATGCATACAATGTTTATTACTGGAAATGAAGATGTCAGGGACTGAGAAGGAAGATTATTGAATTGATCTTGCAGATATTTGTGGAAGTCCTCAAGGATAGTGGATGAAGCAAGGGATTACTTTGGAGATCAGCAGTTTTTCTAAACACAAAGGTGTAACGGGGCACAGCCAGGGCCCCCCCAAAGGGTATTTGTAACGGGGTCCAGAGATGGGGGTGTCCAAGAAAAATATATTCTCCCCTCCCAGGGCAGGCTGCCATGGGGGATGGAAGCCTGGAGCAGGGCCATTGAGAGTCATTTTTGTATGTCAATAACAGGATAGCTTCGTTCCTCATATGCAAAGAGGGTTATTTTGCATAACACCAAAGTTAATCAGAAAGGTTTCAAAGACTAATTACAGAACGTAAGGGAGAGGCAGGAGGAGAGACAGGGGTCTGCAGGAGAGACAAAGGGACACAGACTCTGGGGAACAGTGTGAAGACCACACAAGAAGAAAGAGGGGAGGAAGGACTCTTGCTAGTGGGCCATGAGAAGGTGCCACATGGTTATGGATTAAGAGCTGGAGATCGAGGCGACACAGTAGATGGTGCTGAGACCCGCGAGAGGCCTGCCTAGCCGAGCCCCGGACTTCTGTCCTTTTTCTTCTGAAGGACGGTACCCCTGACTGGCCTGACTGGCCTGACTGGGGAAAGGAGCGGAAGGCAGGATGGTGTGTGTGCTGGTGATTGTGTTAAAGGGATTTTGAGGTTTAAGGTTGACATTTAGCCATTAATCAAACCTGTGTAACTTTTGAATAAATAGTTCCTTTCCTTTTCCCCAAACTCTGCCATTAAAAGCCATAATTCCAAGGGCAGAGGGCAAAGGACCTACAACCGAGGGACCCCAGGGAAGGAGGGTGTCATCGTTTCGGTAATAGCATCTGGGCACCCCTTGACAGGTCCATTTGTTTGGTAACAAAGGTTTAATATGTGAAATTGTGTTATGCTCTGTAGTTTTTGGAGCAAAAAGTAAAAATGGTATAAAAGTGGCCATAATAACTGTTAAATATATGTTACGAATATGTTCCAGACAACACTTTTAAGCATTTTACATGTATCAGACTATTTTACCCTCTTCCGTATTTCATCATTTCCCACATTTTTTAATTGAGTAAACTGGTTAAATAAGTTGACCAGGGTTGCTAGTGATTAGTGAAGCTGAATCTGGGCACTCCAGTCACTATTAGTTTCCTTCTTAGGATCAATGATTTGGATGCTTTTTAATATTGAAGCTGTAAGATGGTAAAAGATGTTGGGGTGGTGGTAGTGAGAAGGCATGATTTTAACAGGAAAACTCAGAGATCATTTGGCTGCTCTTACTACTACTGAGTGGGGTTTAGCCTAAGGGACAGGCAAACCCATCTAAAGGACAGGGAGTTCTGAAGGCTTCTTAATTCCAGAACAACTCACACCCTAATATTGCCTTTCATAGACGCCACGGACTAGGTTGCAGTCCTGTGAGGAGAGGTCTTCTAAGGCGCTTGTAAGAGTGAGAGTCTAAGATGCCAGTACTATTGGAGAAATGTAAGGACTGTGAGAATTTATGAGTCCTACCACAAATACGGTCTCAAACAAAATTTATGATGAGTTTTTTCAAGTATTTTTTTGGCCTCAAAAATTCCCCCAAAACTGGAAAAAATATCAGTCACGTAGTCTTCAATGAAGTTGAAAATACAACTATCATTTACTAAATTATAGTGGGGGGAAAGCCAATAAATGGTAAACTTCTAGTGGAAGTAAATCTTAAGAGAAACCTGTGGTTCTGATGGCTTATTGTCTCTTTATTGGATATTAATTTCATTTAACAGGAAAGAAACCAATTCATTTGAAAGTCATTTATTAAGATAGGCATAATTATCAGTAGTTCATTAATTATTCTTTTAAGATGATCCTATTTTATCACTCTTACATCCAATACCTGAGAGACTCAGGAGTTGAGTCTTGGGGGAAAAAAACACATTTCTCTTGATTTAAAAAAAATCAGTCAAATGATAAATTACTTTTCTGAGTTAATGATATGTAAGCTAGACTTTACCATAAGACCCACTTATAAACTTGTATAATTTGGTTTAAAATGTCAAACATTTTGACTTTTTAAACAACCCATTAAATTCTTAGCAAAATTACGAAATGTTCTATATGTGATGTAATTAATATCTACTCCATTTATACACAACACATCATGCTCAACATGTAGATTTATTTTAAAATATTTAGTCCAATTTCCATTAATGCAGAAAAATTACATCCAATAAACCACAATTGTACAAGAGACAAAATAATTGTGTTCTAACAATTTCCACAGATATAATTTGATGTTTAATTTAAAAGTGATAAGTCACAATCACATGAAAATAAAATATTTATCCTCTCAGTAGTAGTAAGAACCTCTTTTGAGTATGTAGGGTCTTCTGGGTTTATTCGAATAAAGCTGCCGTTTCAGAATGTAAGGAATTTTTCTCTTTATAACTTCTTCTTTTTCACTTTTTTCATTTCCATTATCAAGAACATCTTCCTGAATTAACTGAAAGATAGACAGAATATTAATAAAACTAACAAGCGTAAAGTCTTCCATTTCAGAGTATTTTTCTACATCTTAATTGCTATTCAGACAGTAAAACATGTAAATGAGATGTAGGAGGTTCAAGGCAATTAATCATGTCTGGGGTTTTTTTTGTTTGTTTGTTTGTTTGTTTTTTGTCCAAGAACAGATGGCTCTCAAGTGGCTGAGAAAGAATGAGAACATGATTTTTCCTGATTCCCTATTCAGTGTACTTCCTAGTTCATCAAGCTAGCCTCTTCAATATGTCAAGACCATACAATAATACCTCCAACTGAAAGAACATACCTAATAGAACTTTGAGTATTTTTCAGGCTTCAATCATGTTAGACCAAAATGTTATAGAAATATATCATAAATCACAACAAATGGTTTTGAATCTAGTAAACCAAATTCAAAGATCAATAAGATTTTTGTTCAGTTATTCATGATGACTTAAATCCATTCCAAAGATCCATTATTCAATTATAGAGAAAATACCAACTAACACACTTAGTCATAGAAATTAACATATGTAATAGTTCTGTTTAAAAAATAGTAAAGATCTCTTTAGATCGGGATGCTTAATAATTAAAAGCAAGTTCAGATACAATAACTAAAGCAGTTACTCTCCAGGTAGAATATTGCCTAAAGATCTCATGAAGTATGTTCCATTCTAAAATTAGTTTCAAACATGTTTCCTAATAACCCTGCTCTTATTTGAAACTTTGAGCTAGTATAAAATATTTAAGAGCTCTTTGTAGAGTTTTGTACATCATTTACATAAAATTTTAAAAAATTAATGTTTAAGATAAGAATTGCACTCATATTGGCAATTGACTTCTAAACTTTGAATACTACACCAATACTGACAGAAGACTAAGTTTTTAGTTATAATGTATATCATTGAATTCATGAGTACAGGTAGTACTTTATTTCAACCTACAACTATTCAATTTTAGAGGATGAAAAAATCTACTGTCAGACAACCTTGTTTCTTAATCTTGTTTCTCCTTGCATACAGTCTGTAATTACTTGTACCATGCTCTGAATATTATCATGCTATTATAAATCACTCAGTAACATTTAAAATGGCAAAAGCTCTAATACTGTGTGCACCTGATTTGTCTGTATAATACTTTATTGAGGTTTTTTCCCATAGATATATAAAATATAATTGAAATTTCCCTATTTACAGTTAGTATCCTTCAAATGCTAATGAGTTAAGCAATATTTTAAAGACTAAATCATTTAGTAGGAATTGGAGTTATGGGATAATTAGTTCAACACATCAAATTATAACTAACTTCATGGTTATTTACCTAGAACATCTTTTGTGTGCAAGTTAGGATAAACACTAGAAGTTGTTCTGTCTTTCCTTTTTTCCACAGGGCATCTGTGATAGTTACAGAGATTTTTATATTAACAGGGAAGGCACCCTCAGATCCCTAGAGCTGATGTAAGAATATTATGCAAATAACTCTTAGAGGTTTATCTGAATAAAAAATGTTTCTCTTGTTGGGAAAATATTTAAATTTTATTTCCTTTAAACCATCTGTCATTCTCCCAAACAAGCAGGACATTCCCAAACCAAAGGTGGTGAGTTACCAGTGTAGTATTTCTTAAAACAGTTTCATTTAGTGTTTCAATGTAGTTCTATATAATAAAACTTGGCTGTCTTCACTGTGGTAGCTCAGGTTTAGCTGCCATGGATGCCTAAAATCCATACATTCAATTGAAATAGGAATATGTATGTATATATTTCTATTATATATATGTATGTATATATTCCTATTATATATACATATGTGTGTGTGTGTGTATATATATATAAACATATACCACTATCATTCTAGTTTTATTTGCCTAACATATTCAAATACTAATAGAATCTTTTTGTGTTTTGTGTTTGTTTATATATAAACACACATGACTTAGTGCTTCTAAGAAAACAGTTTAATTTCCCTAAATTTCTTAGGCACTGCTACCACAATGACCACCAAAAGTTGCCTAAACATGTATTCAAGTCATTTTAGCATTTGGATCAAAATCTGCCTTAAGGTATATCCACCTTTTACAATTGAAGAAAAAATATTTTGCTCAACTCTAAGCATCTGAAGGACATTTTGAAGATCTGAGGGAATATTAACCCCAACACATGGTTTATTCTTCTTTAATATTTATGTCTTCCTGTTTTGATATTGATCAGAATTTAAAAATGTTACAAATAAGAGATAACAATAATTATATTCATGTTTTGTTTTTGTTTTACCTCCCAGTGCTGAAAGGTCCTCCTGCGACAGATACTTCGGATCTGGTATATTGTCAACATTGCTTCCAAGCTAAAGTCATCTAAGCCAGTGGGAAATTTCCTTCTTGTAATAAGGGGCTCTCCTGTTTCCTCAGCTTGGTTGTTCAGGTTATTTATAAGACTGCAAAGATTCAGCAGGATCATTTTCCAAGAGGGAACACTTGGTTTACTGATCTGAAACATAAAAAAAGAAAAAAAAAAGATATTGCATTTAAAATTTAAATGAATATAAAATAAATTTTTATTGTGGTAAGCCATTATATTTTAGGGTTTAACTGTTACTGTACCCTAAGTACACTGTCATTAATTTAGTAACTTCACATCACAAAGTTGAATAGTGCCAATACCTCATATTATCTTTTAAAAAAATAGAGTCAGGCATACCATACACACATACATGAGCAAAGCAAGAAAGAAAAAATAAATGGCAAGAAGTAGAAATATATAAATATATATGTATATCACAAACAGATGAAAATAGTAAATATACCATTCTTTTTTTAAATTTTTGTATCCTCACCCGAGGACATTTTTTCTTCATTGCTTTCAGAGGGAGAAAGAGAAACACTGTCATGAGAGAAAGCCATCAGTTGGTTGCCTCCCATATGCACCTGGACAGGTGTGGTTGTGTCTGGGCCCAAGTGGGGGTTGGGGGATCAGGAATCAATCTTTTCAATTACAGAACAACACTCCAGTCAACCGAGCCACATCGGTCATGGTGCCATTCTCTCCTAATTATACTTAAGCTTGGTGTCTAATGGAGCAGGGACTAAGATGTTACTAAGAGATATGGACAACAAGAGTAGTGAGAGACCACTAGTCTAGTTCACACTTGAAGAGTTGTCATGGCGAGCATCACAGCTCACCAATATATTTGCAAATTCTAATATTCTCTAGATCTTGTCTGATGTGCCAACAATAATCAATGAGAAAAGATAAGAACATAGGAGAACTTCAATGTGAAATAATTAGTAAAAATTAACAAACATTTCAAAGGCATAGATGAAAGTAAGCACAAATTTTTCCTAAAGGAGAAAATTTGCAAAGCAATGATGGGAATGCTCAGTAACAATAGTGTCAGGTGTAAGTTTTCTCTATTATCCAAATGTAATCCAATTGCAAATTAACTTTCAATCTGGAAAATATAGAGACTGGGATTTAGAAGAGGCAATTTGTCAAAATAATTATAAAGTTAATTTGGAAGTATGAATGTATGGGCATAACCAAAAAGGTTTAGAAAAATAAAAAAAGTAATGAACTTTTTTTTTACCAGTTATTAACTTTTTTTAAATTTCAGGAATTAAAGGAGTTGATGGAGCATTAAAAAAACACAAAAATAAACAGAAGAGACTATAATGTTCAATAATGGATCCAAATATATATGAGGGTTTGCATAGAGCAAAGTTTGCATTTGAAATCCTTGAGACAGTTGACTATGAGGAAATCTGCATATATATCTAGTTATGACTTTTCTTGACATAGTCTAACAATATCCAGATGAGTTAAATATAAATAAAAAGTTAACAGTGTGTCAATATATAATATGTACAAACTTGGAAAGGTATTATTAAACCAATATCTAAACCAGAATCCATAAATAAGAAGATAATTTAAGTACAAAAATAAATATATTATCTCTCTAGGAAATTATCCTGAATTAAAATCAAAGCAAGCTACAGTATAAAAGCTGATACAATATGTTAGTACTCTTAACAAAGGTGGAACTCTTAAAAAAATAACAAAACAGGTGGATATACCCCAATTTAAAAAAAACTTAAAATATTTAACCTTGGATACTAATGTGAGCAAACGTCACAGAATCACATGTGAAAGAAATATGAAGAATGATGTTCACCTAGGTTACCATTAGATCAGATTTTAAAAAATACAAGTACATGCAATGGTTTCTGGAGACAGACACTTCCTTTCATAAATATTTCTTGGTCTGGGTGTAGATTAGTACAACTTCTTGATGGATGTTTTGGAGATAGGTATTAAAATTATAAATGTCCATACCTTCGATTAAGATTTTTATCCTAGGGGCGGGTAAATCTGTGAGTACAAAAACATTCACTATAATGTTTTCAACGGTCTGGGAATTCTTTCAGCTATGTTCCCTGAATATGATTATCCAGTCATTGCTTGAATTTCTCTGCTATGAAAACTTAGAGGCAACATGCTCCATTGTGCGACCACAGCACCTTATATTCTGCCAATTACTGGGACACTATAATTTTACATTTGGGAAGCTCTTTAGAGATCATCTAATTAAGCTTTTTCTATAGTGTATTTCTTTTTTTTTATTGTTCCAATACATTTGTCTCCATTTTCCCCACCACCTCCCACCCTCAGTCCTTCTGCACTTTTGCTTTGTCCACAGGTCCTTTATATATGTTCCTTGACTTGACCCTTCCCCTTCTTTTCCCCCTTACCCTTCTTCCTCCTCCCATCTGGTTACTGGCAGTTTATTTTTTCTTACAATGTTGCTGGTTATATTTTTCTTGTTTTTTTGTAGATTAGGTTCCATTTACAGATGAGATCATATGGTATTTGTCTTTCACCCTGGCTTATTTCGCTTATGTCTTAGAACACTAGTTCTGCACTCACGGTTTTTAAAAAGGAATTCCATTGTCAAGTAAATTGGAAAACTTCAGTTTGAAGGAAAGTAAAAGTCTTCCTGAATTTAATTATCCTCTGCACTTTTGACTTGAAAATATTTGTTATAACTTTTCAATAGTACCAATAAAGTATCCAATGTTCTCCAAACTAATTTGATCACAGAAGGCTTTATTCGTAAAGTATCTGCCAGGACTAGTGTTGTCATTTTTTTTGGCGGGGGGAGGGGAGGGATGAGGAAACAGTTAATCGTCTTTTGCCAATTAAAATAGTCAATACATCACTCAACACTATTGTTTAATGTCACATTAACTAACCCCTGTTATACCTAGGAAACACAGCAGAGAAAGTACTCTTGACCAAAGGATGTCTAAGTAAACATGTGTTTGAGAACATTTAGTATAAGGTTTAAACTACTTCACTCCGGAAATGGACAAGGGCTCTCTCCTTAACCTAATCTGAGTCAGGCCCCTCTGAGCCCTTGGCTTTTGTCTTTGGTCTGCTTAGTCCAGTTTTAGCACAAATCCTGCTGAGTCAATATAGCGAAAATTCCTCACCCATGGCATCTGATCACCCTAGATATATCTGATATTTAACCAGATTTCCACCCGCAATATCAGAATACTGTAGAGCCATTGAGGAAAAATTGTCTTACCCTTAATGTTTCCTCTTAGTAATTTTTTATCCACTCACCCCCACCCTGCTCCTTGGCTATAAATCCACGTTTATCATTGGGTTCAGGGTTGAGTCCAGTCTCTACAAAACCCCTGTTGTAATAAGTCCTCTTGAATAAACTCTATCTTTAACAAATGTCATGAATAATTTTTCTTTAGGAATAAACAATGTTACTTATTAAATCATTTTATATAAATGTTTATAATAGACCTAAGCCTATAAATAAAAAATTTTGAATAATGTTTCTTCTTGTTTTTTGAGATAAGGAGAATTAGAATATTTACAGTTCCTACTTACCAGTATTTGATTTAACCTTCTAATACTAAATAAAATCCTGATTAGATTTCTGTTTCTTCAATTAAATGGAACCTAATCTATATGACTAATACTACCTATAATATACTGAACTTAGATGAGTTCAACGAATGGTGAATTTAAGCATTTCACTAAATTTAGCATAATTAAAATCATCTGTGGTGGAACCCTGAAGTTTTTACAGGTGAATGCAAAAGGGGAAGGCTGTTCACGAATCCTAGATTTCCATTTTTAGTTCATAAATATTTATTAAATTTTTATTGCATAAAATGCATTGATTTTTGATCACAGAAAATTATAACATTTTAGCAATTTTTTGAAAGTCTGAAGTAAACATACTGTACCTGGTTCTCTTTCTTAATAAGAGTATACCAAAACACTAACAAACATAATTCTACATATATAGTAAAGACTGTTGTACCTAAAACATGCTTATCCAAACCTGAGATGGCAAGACCTGAGTTGGAACTTCTAGGCAGGAGCTTGGGACACTTAACCTCCTTGCCATGACATCTGTTGAGTCCTCAGCCTTGGTGTCCCAGTGTTCTAACAGTGATTGCAGCAGGTGGCTGTCTCACCTCAAAATGTACTTTTCTTTAAGAAACCTCTTTTGGCTAGGAACTCTGTTCTCTAACTCTACGTTTAGATACACACTGGGTAAATAAAGATAGTGTGGTATCATGGTAATCAGGTGTATTCTAATTAAGTTTTATTCCTAGGTACAGGTGAGAGTCTAGGAACCATGTTTTTAAGACCCCAGGAGAATAACAGTATAACAAGTTTTACTTGATTCAGTAAAAACAATGAACAGGCACAGGTAACACTCTAATAATAGGAAGAATTTAAAACCAGGAATGAATTTAATGTAAAAGTCTGGGAGATCATGAATTCCAACCACAGCATTTAAAAATTAAAAAATAAAAAAGGCAACCACTGGCAACTACCCACTTGGTTAAGAGCAAATAGTTCGTAAGTCACAGTTGCAGGATTAAATCTCAAAGATTCTGTTTGCCAATCTATGGCTCTTTACACTCTAACAAATGTCTTCCATGGATTGTCATGAACTTTCATTTTTAATTTAGGAACTCCATTTTACTTTCCCCAATATAATGAAAAAGGCAAAATATGTCACTTAATTCTCATTTATGCATTTAATTGGAGGCCAGTATACCTTTCATCATGTGCAATTTGATAGGAATGGAAACAGGATTCCTTTAAATACATGAACATGCCCCCATAAATAATATGTGACTTTTAATTAAAATTACAATATACTGATTGATAGTCACTATAATTTTTTTCCCTGTCACATCAACACACTTAACTGCTTTGAACTTAAGGAAGTTTCCTGAAAAAGGAAATGCCTCCCTATGAACTTTTCAGCCTTTATGGAAAATTATTACTATAGGACAAGGACACAATGTTTATAATGAGAGTTCCTATGTTTTTCAATCCTTGGTTTAAAAAAAAAAACAACTTACCTTTGATGTGTGCACATTGGTCAATAAATCTGTTTCTAACGCTTTCATTTCCTCTTCTGAATCTGAGTAAAATCAAAACCATATGTTTACTATATAACCACATATCATATAATTACATTTTAACCTGCAGGTTTTATATTAATCTAAAAAATGGCCTCAGAAGCATGTTGTCTTTTCTATGTATGCATCCTACTTAAAATAGTATTCAGAAAAAAATTATAGTTTTATTTTAGACTGAGAAGAAACCAGAATAATCAAAGCACTTATAAGAAAATAAACACCTGATTATATGCCAAAAGAGCTATTGATGATTTGAAGTTGTTTATTCTCTAAATCTCAGAATTAAAAAAGCGATTGTATGATATAGTAGAAATGTCATCAAATATGTTGGTTAATTTTCTCCAGCAATAATTTACATATATAGAATATATGCATGTTGATATTTAAAAAACAACATAATGAAAAGGTATTTACAGAGACTTAAGACAAAAAAAGAATTGCTTACTGATAATTTTAAAATAAGAAAGACTTTAAAATCTACTTGAGATACTATTTTACAAAACATACATTGTAAGGTTTGTTTTTCTACTTTAAACAAGAATTTGAATTACGTGTACTTAGCAATTTTATCATAGCCCATTAAGGAAATTGTTTAAACAAAAGTGATGTCCATTAATACCTGTACAATAACATTAAAATGAATTTCTGATTTTTAAAAAGAATATCCTTTCCAGTTTCCACTAATAAATATTCTAGAGAGAAAAACTTTAAACTACTATAATGCAATAAAAATAGAGAACACTACATACAATAAAGTGATTTAATTTAAACTCACTAACCTAGATGTCCTAAATCAAAGATGTTAAAATGACACTGCCTTCCTTGCACTTTACACACTGATTAAAAGGAAGTGTGACACTTGGAGAAACCATTTGTTAAATTGTATCTTGGAACTAAAATGCACCAGAGATCATTTTTTACTATTTTTTTAGGGGCCCAATCTTTTTCACAAGGAGTCACAAATTCCTTTAGCCATTTATTTAAAAAAGTATACCAAAATCAACATAAATTTTGGTTTATCAGAGCAAAGAGTTTCAAAACTTAATAAACAAAGTATTTAATTAATAACTCAGTTTTTCTCACATGCTCTAAGTATACTTCTGCATAATGGTAGACAATTTGGTATTTATCTCATAAAAGATGTGCAAATTTAGAAGTTCAAGGTCTGTTTAATGGTCAAAAGAATTAAAATTTTTAATTAACATTATGTCTTCTAGATTTACTTTTATAATTTAAATGAAATCATAGGAGGAGTTTAAATTAAACATTTCAATGTCATTTATAAGATAACAAAGTATAAAACAGGTTAAGTCATTTTCCTGCACTTATTCTGTTTTTTTTATTTTGATGTGATCATTTGATTATTTAATTATTTAAATCATTAATTGAAGTATATTACAATCATATTTCTTATTCCTCTTAAATTTAAATTTAATTTTTAAGATGAATTATTAATAGATATTTAGCAATAAATGGCTGCTCCGTAATTATCACATGCAAATCACTCCATATAAATAATTTTCTTTAGAGAAGAATGCTAATTTTCTAAATACATTTTGTATCAACTTAAATGGCATGCAAAAAAATAATAGGATGTCTATTATTTTTCACATAGATTTGTAAAATGTATTCTTAAAAGGGACTTGGAATATTTTTGTGTTTTTCTAGAAATAATTTTTTACAAATAATGCTTTATTCATTTATTCTTTAATCATCAGTTTTCAAATTGTTACCTTAACACACATGCAGTTAAAAAATAAACTAGGGAACAGAAAAGCCACTACCTCTTGAGAGAATAACTGAGAATGAGACAAAATATCTTGAAGGGAACGGATTTTAATTAAGCATTCGCACTTTGACAGGCACTGCATCTGTACTTCTCATTAGATAGTGGCCAGCCTAGTTTAAGTTTTAGCTGTTTTTTTTTCCTCTAGTAATTATATTCCAAAGGGGGACATGAAGTGTTTCATTCAAATCCCTTCTATTGCTTTACAGATTTAAAAACAAAAATTTTTCAGTTCTTGTAATCATAAAGACAGAGAAAGAAAATATTCAGCTTCTTCATATTAATAAAGAGCAAACCCAGAATAAGGGAGAATCTCTTCTCCCCGGATACATTAACATAAGTAGCAATACACTACAAAAAAGGAAAAAGAAATCACTTCAGGGAGTTGTGAAATGCAGCTGAGCTTACCTGAACACAGACTCCAGGAGCTGAAAGCCAGGAGCACCATGCATACCAGCTGGATTTTCATCCCTGCCATCATCTTGAGATTCTTAGGAAGCCAAGTTCATAAACGTCAGAGACACGCTGAAGGGAAACCTCTCTCTAATGCTTCCTCTTGCCTTCAGCTGATTTTGAAAGTGACTGAAGTATGAGAGTTGCTTTGGCCATTCCTTATATATATACATATGCAGGAGGATGATGTCATGAGAGTGTACAGGGATTATCTTTTCAGGATGGACCCTCCCTCCCCTCATCGCCATCCCTCCCCTCCTCTGCCCACTTCCTCCTCCCCTTTTCCTTTGCCCCTCTTCCATTTCTGAACCTCCACTGAAGGTGACGTCCTCCCTAATTTCAGCTACTGCTCCAGATTCCTGACACACAGAAGGAATCATTCAAAAGCAATACTATATAGAACATACTAGAAAAGAACTTCCAGTACAATTCTTTCCCCATTTCCTCTCATTCCTTGACTCTAAGAAGTTGTCGTTTTGATTTTATGAAACATGAGGTCTGTCATTGCTAATAAGCAACAACTCTAAATGAATGACTTGACACGAGTGATTCTTTAAGTTTGGCAAGTTCTTAAAGAGTTCGGGGTTCTTTTCTGATAACTCACACTTCTGAGTGTTTTGTGGTTTCAGGACTAATACAGATCTTAGATGAGACATGCTAAAAGAAGGAAGAAAATAAAAGATCAGAGAATCAGTTACAATATTGGGGCTAAACAAAAAACTTTACATAAAAAAATAAAAAATACTAGTAGGAAAATAGGACATTATTTCCTAACAAATTAAAGTTTTTATAATAAGTAATTGGGAGAATGACTTAATTGTATATGCTGACTTGATTGTCTTAGGAAAGCAATTTCATGGTTTTATGAAATTCACTATAAATTATGTGTTAACAGGTGAAAAATGTATTATTATATCACTGATTGCTGTTTTCTGACACTTTCCTCTTTCTCACTCTTAATGCTATATCCTATTCATTATATAATCCTCTTCTCACTGCTTTTCACTGTTGCATTACATTCGTTTCCCTGTTACAGTTATGAAAATGAAATTGCACTTCTGGAAATGAGACAATCACCACTCACCAAAGTCACATTTTTAAGAAAGTGTCTTCACATAATTTGTAGGTTACAATGATACTCATTCCCTAAGTTCTCAGAAGAAAGTTGCTCACAATGTCTTTTGGAGTGAAGTGATCCTCTTGCATTTGTATTAGGGATTTCGGGGTACCTGGAGTCATCTGCTGTTGGCAATGTCAATATTTGAAAGTAAAGCTTTGTGTCAGGCTTGTTCACTTCTTAGATATTATCAACCCTGTAGTAACAATCAAGAAAAGAAATCTAGATTGATTTCTACAGAAAGTTGACTTACATGGCATATGTCTATGACATTAACTTCTCCATTTTGCCTTAAGTAAATAAATTAATTTGAATCATTTAAAATTTATTTAAATGAGCAAGCAATCATTCATATAATTTAATGTTAAGAAACTTAACAATAGCTGATGCTTTTATTACCTTTGGTTTGCTTTACAAACTTTCATACAACACAATATTAAACATGACTCACTTGAGGAAAGTTTTATTTAGAGGCAACTTAGTAATTGGCAAAGAAATTTGAAATATATGTGCATTTTTCCTGTTTTGCCCACTAGGGGGCAAAATAGAAGTTTAAAAGGCTTTATTTTCACTTAACATCAGAGAATTATGATTTTGCTTAGTTTCTTCTTGCTATTAGAGCAGCTTTATGATAGAATACTTTTAAATCCACTTTTAAAAAATTATATATTCTTTGCATGACATGTAATTGGTTGTTTTGTCTTCTTTTGAATTGCAAATACAAAGATTTATCTTTTAAGATGTGTGCTAGCTAGTAGCCTAATTGTAAAAAGGAAGTACGACTCCTGTGTTCTTCAAGTGATTTCTTTAATACATGAAGCTCAGGGAAGTGTTGACAAAATTTATTTGTAGTTAATTATAAAAAAAGGGAAAAATGAGTGAAGAAATTAATTTTGTTTTAATATATCCCTTGGATATTAGCTATCAATGTAAGAATTGTTTTAAATATATGATCTGAAAAAAATAGGGAAATAAGTCAAATGATTTAAAATCAAATATATGCTATGCACTATTTTTCTTTTGGCAAAAAACACGTGTAACTTTTGTAGTAAAATTTTATATATATACAGAATATATATATATATATATATATATATATATATATACAGTCTGTTCTCTAGTTGGTATTTTTAAAAATCCGTTATTCCTTTCCTTTCTCCCATTAATCTGTCTTTTTATTACAGAGGGGTTTCAGCCAAGAACCTAAAGAGGTGGAGGAAAAACTTTTTTTACTCTCCTATAAATGGAAACTTCTAGAAGAGAACTGTCATTCATTGGGGTATACCCGCTTCTTCCAAGGCTTATAATCTTTAAGTGTCCAATATGTGTTTACTGAACTGAATCTAAATACTGATTTTTTAAAATTTCTAACATGTTTTTTCATGTTTCCATTTGTAACATTTCTTTCAACCACATCTCTAATTTTGGTGATATAAAATTGCTTTTTATCGTTCATCTTAATATTTGATGATGAGCCTCCAACTAAGTCAGTTTTCTCAGCATTTGCTGTAGTCATTCTTTCCCCCACTAAAAGGGAAAGTCAACTTGAAAAAGTTATTTAAGAACTGAACCCTGGGATTATGTGCATTCAACAGCTGAGTGCTTAGGGTGTGGGTTTACATGATTCCCGTAAATGAGTCTCTGCTTTGGAACCTTAACCCTGATTCATCTGAACAAACAGTGATCTTAATCTCTTTGTAAACTGAATTGATTTTTCTGTTCACTTAAAGTCCATTTTCTAGACATACAGGTAGTTATATGCATGTACACACCCAAGCCTTCTTATAGTATCTTTTACACGAAACGCATATTACCCAGACCTTGGAGACTTAAGTAAATGTAAACCACATATCCAATTTCCCAATCTATATGTAACCATGCTTTGCCCATAATCTCTATAAATACAAAGCTCATTTCCCTTTGGTTCTCCCCGTCTCTGCTTTTGCATCTTTATAGGCAATTAACTTGGGAAAATTGATGATAGATTTCTGTAGTTAAAACATTTTGCCACTTAAACTCCAATTGTAACACAAGCTTTGCCTGAGATTCGCATGATAACAAGTTGTATTTAAGGAAAGATGTTCCACATTGTAGTTACTGCTGATATCACTTATAATCTTGTTTCTCATATCTAAAAAAACTGTGATGTACACAAAATTACTATGCACTATGTGTAATGCTCAAGTAATTGTCCTTATAAACATCATTTTTTATAAGACTAAAATAAAAGCATTACAGAAAAAAAACGTTCCTAACAGTTTTCTTTTACTTACCTTTACAAATTAAAGTATAATTATATAGAGTAAAAAATGAGATAAATTTTCATTGAAAGAAAAGTCACCCCCTTTATTTATGTTACAAAACCTAAGAAAATTGCTCTAGCACCTAAAATACCCAAACCGAACAGATGCACTTGAGCTGCCAGGAGCAGATTCAGTGGAACACTTTATCTTAAAAAGATACTAGATGTTGAATTTAGAACACAATAGTTTATATTATTAGCATTTTGTAGTTTTACTATTTTTTCAACTATATTCTTTCCCTAGTGATCCTGATAAGTTTCATGGCTTGGAATTTTATCTGTTCCTTAGTCACCTCCCAATGTGAGTCTCTGCCTACCCCAACTGTATAACCGATCACATTCTCAGCAGCTTTACTTGAAGGATCACTAGGCAAACTTATTGTCTCAAGTAAATCATTTGATTCCTCCAGACACCTTTCTAAAAATATTCTCTTCCTCTAGTGTTCTTCATTTTGGTAATTAAAACCATCATTTACTGAGTTGCACAAATCCAAAAACTAGAAGCCATTTGCAATTCTTTTTCCTCACCTACCATGTCTGAGCTGTGAAAGCCCTCTGGAGTACAGGTCTGCCACTAAAATATATTCCGAATCTAATTACTTTCTCTTTCCCCATTATCATCACCCTGGTATAAGCAACCATCGCTCCCCTCAGCTGCAGCAAGAGCCACTTGAACTGAGTCCCTCTGGTCAGTTTTGATCCATTTTAAAGCAGTCACCATCTAGTAGCTGGGGAAAATTTCTTCAGTGTGAATGTATGCTTGTTGCTCTATGCTTAAAACCATCTAAAGGTTTCTGATTATATTTAGAACAAATTCCTGGCTGTGGCCTGTATTGTTCCAGGTGGACCTCTGCCTCCTCTCTGCTGTCACCGCCTACCCTTCTCCCCTGTCTGTGTACTTCCAGCACAATGGACTTCAGGCTTTTTCTCAAACATGCCAACCCTTTCCTCAGATATCTTCAATAAAGACTGTAGTTAGATTACTGTTCAGCCAATACTTACTCCCTGCCTCTTCCAGAGTCTGTGGAATATACTCTCCCACTTTTTCACTCTGACTTTGGCCATGAGGTTTGCTTTAGCTAATGAGATGGTAGCAGACATAAGAAAAACAAAGATTTGGTAGGAGTGTGCTTCATGCGGTTTGCCTTCTTATTCCTTTTCTATTGCCACAAAACCTTTAACTGGATGATCCCCAAATGAGGAGAAACAGGAATCAAAGCCAAACTGCAGTGTGAACCATGGTCACCCAGCTAACTCACAGACATGTGTAAAGGATTAAATGATTTGTTTTAAGTAGCTGAGTTTCACAGCAGTACAGCATTTTTGTGGTCATAGTTGATTACTACCCCATTCAATCTCTAGAGTATTTGATCATTTATCTTTTGTCTTTCATAAGTAAAAGCAGGCATTTTTCTTTTACATTGTTTCTCTCACTCTAAAAAACACAAAATAGCAATTCTCCATAATAGGCACTCAATAAATAGTTACCTGCATGAATTAATGAACTACTGACACTCCAAACATCTCTCCCTGGTGGTTTTAAGGTAACTACCTCTTACTCACTTCTCACAAGAATGTTGTTATTCTCCAATGTGTGAACAGTGAAACC